ATTTTGGACACTGGCTCTTTCAGTCAGAAACAGGTTGAATAAAAGTGCTGATTTACCAGTAGTTTACCAGCACTTTTGATGATGGATCCCCAGTGGAATATACATAATCACACTGACTTCCTTTGCTGTGCCTCAATATGTTCCCCTTAGCTTCATAACACTGATCCCTAGAACAAAGCACAGGTCTGCAAGCAAGTCAATTAAAAATAAAAGCACTGGAGGTGGAGCCAACATGATGTCCTAGACAGACACACTACGCTGTCCCTCTGCATCAAACACTCAAAAAACTAAGTAAAACAGATATAAATGTCAATCCTGGAACCCTAAGCATCAAATGAAGGGATAAAGAACAAGCTCAAACACTGAATGGAAGAAGAAACTAACAGAAAACAGAGAACGAGGAGAGATATAGAATGCAGGTAACCTACCAACTAACAAGGCACAGCATCACTATCCTCAGGCATATGCAGCAACAACCCTGGACAGGAAGTACAGGACAGCAACTTCACGGAGCTCCCAAGAGGAGTCAGATTACATGGTAACCAGAGAAACATGCTTTCCCACCTCTCACACTTCTGCCCCATATGTCACCTCCCCCACTTCCTGCCAGCCCCTGGATCCACCCTGCCCTCACCTCCTGGCTACCACATGCTGCCCTGCTTTTTTTCTCTCTGTCTCTTTTCTTTCTCCAACCCACCTAGCCCTGTATGCCATCCACCCTTCCTGCAAGACCCCACCATGCCACCACAGTTAGAACATCATCTACCCTCAGATTTGATGCTGCAACAGGCCTGCACTGCCCTTCCCTACTGACCACTCTACCAGCTAGTGAACAGCAGGAAGAGAGCCCGTACATCTCCCCGTGTGACACACTACCCATCTGGCAAGAGGCTGTGAACTCTCCCATGTTGCTGGACCAACATCAGGAGGCAGACGGCTCCCACCAAGTTCACCCTCAGCAACCTCACCAAACCAGTGTATAGTGTAACAGCTCATCCTGCCTGTTGCTGCCCTGCCCTCCCAGACAGGTGATGAGAGCTATCACAACCACAGGCAAGCAAGCAATAAAGCACACTTGGCTGCCCATGCTGACAAATCAAAACAAAACAAAAAGTAGGACAAAACAAATGAAAATACAATTAATAAATAAAGAAAATAATACCTTAATGTCTCAGAGACAGCAGACAATATCAAAACATTAAAAAGCATGACAAGATGGCTCTGGCAAGGGACCAAAATAAAGAATCAGATTACCTTCTGGTAGAAGAAAAGACAGTGCAACTACTGACATGGAATTCACAAGACTAATATTTAGGGCTCTCCAAGAAATTAGGAAAGAGATCAAGGAAAACACAGTCAGAACCAAGAAAAAAATAGATAAAATCATGGAAAACACAGAAAAAAAACAAGGAAAACATAACCAAAATCAAGGAAAACACAGAAAAAACAATAGAATTCAATAAAATAAAACAAGAACAAAATGTCAACATAAATAAGCAATTAGAAATCATATAAAAACAGCAATGAGAAATTCAAAAGATAAAAAACAAAATTTCAGAAATTGACAATTCAATAGAAGGTTTTAGTAGCAAATTTGAAACAATGGAAGACAGAATCAGCAACATTGAAGACAAATTCATGGATGCCAATTTGTTTACAGAAAAATCAGAGAAAAGAATGAAGAAAATCTAAGAATTACGTGGGATGCAATCAAGAGCAAAAATTTGAGCATGATCAGAGTTCCAGAATGGGGGAGAATATGGAAAACAGAGAAGATTGTTGAAGATTTGCTACCAGAAAACTTCCCACACATCATGAAAGACAAAAAGCTGACCATCCGAGAAGCTCAACGAAGCTCACATAGGACAGACCCCAAAGAAAGTCATTAAGACATATCATAATCACACTTGCAAAAACCAAAGACAAAGAAAGAATCCTGACAGAAGCTCAAGAAAAACGAAAAGTCACTTAGACAGGAGAAAAAATAAGACTAATCTCTGATTACTCAGCAGAAACTATGCAGGCAAGAAGGCAGTGGGATAATGTATATGAAACCTTGAAAGAAAAAAATTGCCAACCAAGAATAACATATCCTGCAAAACCCTATGTCAAATATTATGGCAAAATTAGGACATTTCCAGATGAACAGAAATTAAGGAATTCATAAAAATCAAACCAAATTTATAAAAAATATTAAAGGGATTTCTTTGGTTAGAGAACCAACAACATCAGATAACATCCTGAGTCTAGGACACAGGACAGCATAAGCCTGACACCAACCTTGGTAAAGAACTCTCAATAATAAAACGAAGCTAAAAGACTTAAAACAGGGAAACACAGATGTCAATCTGTAAATTACAACAATGTCAAAATAATAAAAGGGGGAATAAATGATATAGGTATAGAACTTTCAAATAGAGAGGTAGTCAAGTCAATATCAAGTAATAAAAGTCTGGTTCAAACTTAGGAAGATAAGGGTAAATATCAAGGCAACCACAAAGACAGTTAACAAACCTACTCATCAGATTTAAAAAGGAGAAAAACATAAAGACTCAGTAAACACAAAGTCCATAAAAATGAAAGAAAAGAAAAGAAGCTCCACACAAAAAATAAATAAACTCATCACAGGAAGGTAAGAGGAACAAAGAAAACATCAATACCACAGAAAAAAAGCACAATATGACAGCAATAAACTCCTACCTATCAATAATCACATTGAATGTAAATGGCTCAAGTACACTCAAAAAGAGACAGAGAGTGGCAGAATGGATTAAAAAAAAAATGACACATCAAAATGCTGTCTACGAGAGACACACTTTAGACACAAAGATTAAATATACTAAAAAATAAAGGATAAAAAATATATATCAAGCAAACATTAACCAAAAAAGGGCAGGAGTGGCAATACTAATCTCAGATAAAATAGACTTTAAGGCAAATTCACCTTAAAAGACAAAGAAGAACATTATATAATGATTGAAGGGAAAATCCACCAAGAAGACATAACCTCAATAAATATCTATGCACCGATGACAGGGCTCCAAAATACACACAAGACAAACTTTAACCACACTGAAAAGAGAAATAGACAGTTCCACAATAATAGCAGGAGACTTAAACACAACACTCTCGGTAAAGGACAGAACATCTAGAAAGAAACTCAACAAAGACACAGAAGATCTAAAGGCCAAAATCAATCAACTTGACCTCATAAACATATATAGAACACTCCACCCAACAACAGCAAAGTATACATTTTTTCCAACACACATGAAACATTCTCCAGAATAGACCACATTTTAGGCCACAAAGCAACCCTCAATAAAATACAACCAAAATAATACAAAGCATTCTCTGTAATAACAACACCAAAAAAGTAGAAATCAACTACAGAAAGAGCAAGGAAAAAAATTCAAATACACAGAAACTGAATAACTCCTTGATTAAAACCAACATGGTAATAAAAGAAATAAGGATGGAATAAATAAATTCATAGAATCAAATGAGAATGAAAACACATCCTACAGAACCTTGGGAACACAGCAAAAGCAGTGCTCAGAGGTCAGTTTATAGCAATAAATGCACACATCCAAAAAGAAGAAAGGGCCAAAATCAAAACATTAGCCCTACAACTCGAAGAAATAGAAAGAGAACAGTAAAAGAAGCCCATAGGCACCAGAAGAAAGAAAATAATAAAGATTAGAGCAGAAACAAGTCAAATAGAGATTCGAAAGACAAAAGAAAGAATCAACGAGACTGAAAGTTGGTTCTTTGAAAAGATCAACAAAATTGATAAACCATTGGCCAAACTGATGAAAGAAAAACAGGACAGGAAGCAAATAACCCAAATAAGAAGGGAGCATTACAACAGACCCAACTATTTTTTAATTATGCTTTAGGTGAAAGTTTACAGAGCAAATTAATTTCTCATTAAACAGTTAATACACAAATTGTTTTGTGGCATTGGTTGCGAACCCCACGACGTGTCAACACTCTCCCCTTCTCCACTCCAGTTTCCCTGTTTCCATTCATCCAGTTTTCCTATCCCTCCTTGCCTTCTCATCTTTGCTTTTGGGCTAGTGTGCCCATTAGTTTCGTATGTACATGATTGAACTATGAAACATGTCCCCCATGTGTGTTATTGTTGGCCCTATAGACCTATCTAATCTGTGGCTGAAGGGGGAACTTCAGAAGTGAATTCAATACTGAGTTAAAAAGGTGTCAGGGGGCCATACTCTTGGAGTTTCTCCAGTCTCTGTCAGACCAGCAAGCCTGGTCTTTTGTTTGTGTGTGTGTGTCTGTGTGTGTGAATTTGAATTTTGGTCTACATTTTTCTCCTTATCTGTCTGGGACCCTCTATTGTGATCCCTGCCAGAGCAGTCAGTGGTGGTAACCAGGCACCATCTAGTTGTTCTAGGCTCGGTCTGGTTGGGGTTGTGGTAGTTGTCATCCATTAGTCCTTTGGACTAATCTTTCCTTTGTGTCTTTGGTCTTCTTCATTCTCCTTTGTTCCAGCCAGGACGGGACCAGTAGATGCATCTTAGACGGTTGCTTACAAGCTGTTAAGACCTCAGACACTACTCCTCACAGTCAGATGTAGAACAATTTCTTTGTAGACTATATTATGCCAGTTGAGCTAGATGTTCCCTGAGACCATGGTCCTCAGCCCTCAGCCCAGTAACTCAGTCTCTCAGGGCAGTTAGGATTGTCTGTGAAGTTTCTATGCTTTTGCACTGGTCAAGTTGTGCTGACTTCCCCAGTATTGTATACCATCTTACCCTTTACCAAAGTTACTACTCATCTACTATCTATTGTTTTTCCATCCCCATCCCTCCCTTCCCTTGTAACCATCAAATATTGTTTCTTTCTGTGTGAAAACATTTTCGTGTGTTTTTACAATAGTGGTCTTATATAATATTTGTCCATTTGTGATTGACTTTTTTCACTCAGCATAACGCCCTCCAGATTCATCCATGTTGTGAGATGTTTTACAGACTCACCATTGTTCTTTACTGTTGCATAGTATTCCATTCTGCGTATTTACCATAGTTTGTTTATCCATTCATCTGTTGATGGGCACTTAAGTTTTACTCCAAAACTAGATGTATGCAAAACTGGAAGTTCATCTGTAAAAAAAGTGAAACAGGACTCATACCTCACACCATACACAAAAACTAATTCAAACTGGATCAAAGATCCAAATATAAAACCTAAAACTATAAAGATCATGAAAGAAAAAATAGGGACAACTCTAAAACCAAAAAAAAAAAAAGAAACCAAACCCATTGCTGTTGAGTTGATTCTGACTCATAGCCATCCTGTAGGACAGAGTAGAACTGCCCCGTAAGGTTTCCAAGGAGTGGTTGGTGGATTCAAACTGCTGACCTTTTGGTTAGCAGCTGAATGCTTAACTACTATGCCATCAGGGCTCTGGGACAACACTAGGGGGCTTAATATATGGTATAAATTAAGATACAAACCATTATTGACCATGAACAAACACCAGAAGATAAACTAGATAACTGAGAGCTCCTAAAAAATTAAACATTTATGCTCATCAAAAGACTTCACCAAAAGAGTAAAAAGAAAACCTACACACTGGGAAAATGTTTTGGCTGTGATATATCCAACAAGGATCTAATCTCTAAAATCTACAAGATACTGCAATACCTCAACAACAAAAAGACAAATAATCCAATTAAAAAATGGGCAAAGGATATGAACAGATATTTCAACAGAGAAGACATTCAGGCAACTAACAGACACATGAGGAAATGCACACAATCATTAGCCATTACGGAAAAGCAAATCAAAGCTACAATAATATACCATCTCACCCCGACATTATTGACACTAATCAAAAAACAGAAAATAACAAATGTTGGAGAGGTTGTGGGGAGATTGGAACACTTA